AATGAGGATTTTCCACTTTTTTGTTGTGTATTTTCTCAATATAAAGGTGAAATAACAAAACTCGGTTTATTGGATGAGAAAAGGGTATTGAAATTCGGAACTGTATCGGATGTAAAGTGAAAGATATCCGTCCGTATAGAAAATTATCAGTCGTGGCGCTCACCGGGAGTTAGTGAACGTTTTGGAATGGGGAAGAGTGGGGGGGGGAGAGGGAAGGTTGGGGGATTTTAAGGGAGGAGGGTGTGAGAAAACCGAGATGGGGGTTGGAAACAGGATGGAAAATAGCCTCTGGACAAAGCAGAATGGCTGCAACGATGGTCATTAGCAACCCACTGTGCTGAAGCTTCGTTCTCATCACACGTCGTATATATACCATACCATTACCCATTTACAAAGGGTTCTCTCTATCTTTTTCTCTCTCTTTCTCTCTCTTCAATAGTATCTTTCCACGTGTATACAGGACACACATATGGGTATATATAAATACACATAATTCGACGTATTTTCTCAGCTCATATATTCAATTATCCAATAATGAAGCTTCATGAAACGGTTTCAAACCAAACGACGTTTATTTGCACTTTGTTTGCTTAATAGAAAAATATTTAACGAGCTACATCCAACCCCAAGTCAAGGATAACCAAAAAGGAGCAGTTTAATATTTATTAACGACTTTTTATTCTCTCTCCCTCTCTCTTTGTTTCTCCATTATTACCCAAAATTATAATACTAATTATTAATAATAGACCTAATATTTATTTTCTTTTGCTTTATATACAGAAATAAATACACTGAAACCCCACTTATTTAAAGTCTCGTTTATTTGAACCCGTTTTTGCTTCAGTTATTTTTAGTTAGAATCAATCCTAACCCCACTTATTTTAGCTCATGCGCAGTACGCGACCAATGGAAAGATACTTACATTCCCATTGGTTGAGTTCAAACAAAACCAACCAATCATGTCAATTTATCGAATTACGTCACCAACATAGGTTATGTCGACCAAAATACAAATAAACGCGACACTTCGTGTCAAATTGCGTGGGCCATGTTCAAATAAGTGGGGTTTCAGTGTATTATCTGCGTTTTATACAGAAAAGAAGGAACAATTTAATGCCTTGAATTTAAATGGAAGGCTAATATCAATTTAAAATAGTTTGAAGTAGTTTACTTTTTTATTGAATTTGAATTTCGCGCCATTGTAATTCTGTGACTCCCCGTCCAGATGGCATGAAAACTCTCCCGCAATCGAGATTGGGTTACCGTGGTAAAAGTATCATACTGATACTTGTAGACTTCGTTTCGTTTTAATTATATTTAATAAATAATAATGTCCTTAGAAATAATTAACTGTAATAATCTTCGTAAATTCTTTCATTCTGTCTGTCCACACTTTAAAGTTAGTTTTTGTGTATGCTTTCGTTTTTTTTTTCTTTAAAAAATATTGTTTGAAAAATCGAAAACATGCAGAAATTTTTTCATGATTTATAATAAAAAAATAAATATTTAAAATTAGAAAATTTTTTGAAAATTATAATATTGTTCAATTTTTGGCATTTAATTTGTTAACATTAAGTTTTTTTTAAAAGAAAATTACAATTTTTATTTTGAATATTTACATACGATCTATTCTGACAATTTTAATTCAATTAATTAAATGTTATATACATTTTCGTGTCCTAAAGAAAATGCTAGAAGTTAAACAATATCAAATTTATTATATATAGGACAATCAATAAAAAAACTTTTTAAAAATTATGATTAACAAATAAATTTTGTTTATTATATGCTTTTTTCTATAACAGATTTCTTTCTACTGATCTAAATTATGAAAATTTTCCTCTTTTTTATTTATAAAAATATGTTAAATAAAATTATTAATTGTTAAAAAATTATTTAAAATTTTTAGAAAATGAAGGAAAAAATTTTTTTAAAAAAATGTTCGGTTACATTTATTTACGAATTTCTTAAATTTCAAAATTATTCAAAAACATCAATAACTTATAAAAGTATTGTTATAAAACATGAAGATATCGATTGCTTCGAGTCGAAGACTCGGAGTGATCGATATCTTCGTGTTTTAAATTAATTAATAATTAACGAGTGATAAAATCATTATTTTATATTATAATAATATTGTTACTGTAAATTCTTCAAAATTATTTTCATCATTTTTCAATTCAATTATTATTTTCTAGAATTTTTAATTATTTTTTATAAAAATAATTTTGAATTCCATAAAAAAATTTTGATATTGATAAAAATAATTAAATTATTGCTTAGGAATTTTTAAAAAAATTTTGTAAATAATTGAATTCATGTGAAATTTTTATTATTTATGAAAATTATTTAAATTTATGCGCACAATTTTATTAAAATTGTTTTTTAATTATTTTTTATAAAAATAATTGAATTCCATAAAAAAATTTTGATATTTATAAAAATAATTAAATTATTGCAAAGGAATTTGTAAACAATTTTTGCAAACAATTGAATTCATGTGAAATTTTTATTATTTATGAAAATAATTAAATGTTTGTGTAAAATTTTATTAAAATTGTTTTTTAATTATTTTTTAAAAAAATAATTGAATTCCATAAAAAAATTTTGATATTTATAAAAATAATTAAATTATTGCAAAGGAATTTGTAAACAATTTTTGCAAACAATTGAATTTATGTGAAATTTTTATTATTTATAAAAATAATTAAATGTTTGCGTACAACTTTATTAAAATTATTTTTAAATAATTGAATTCTTTTGGGTAATTTTATTTAAATAGTAGATACTGAAAATCATTGAAATGAGAAAAATTTTGAAAATAATTGAAATTTTGACAAGGATTTTATTAAAATTTTTTGAAAATAATTGAATTTCGGAGAAGAATTTAATTAAAATTTCTAAAAATAATTAATTGGTATTTTGATGAGAATTTTTTTAAAATTTTGAACATAATTGGATTTTTTTTTTTTGTCAAAACGGAAAAGTGATTTGTACACTTTTCGTTAAAATAATATTCTGTGAAATATTAGTTTTTCCTAAATTAATTTCTGTTTAATAAGTTCCTTTAATTATTAGAATTATAATAACAATAATTATAATTATTGTTTATAACATTATTTATTAAAGTTATTGTTACAATTATATTGACAATATTTTTACCAGTCGTTACAATAATAGCGGAATATTTAATTTTTATTTCTACTTTTTTATTTTTTATGTGCAAAAATAAATAATAACAGATTTTTATAAGTATATAGCACATATTCATAACTCACTTTGTTTTATCATTTTTTATTAAAAGTAATTAAAATATAAAAATAATATAATCTCTAACGGTCAGTTATATGTATATAACCCCGGTGACTCTATCTCGATTGCGAGAGAGTTTTCATGCCATCTGGACGGGGACTCACAGAATTACAATGGCGCGAAATTCAAATTTAGTAAAACAAAAAATCGAACTAAGTTAACTATTTCAAACTAATTTTGCCCTAGTATTTAAATTTAAAGTGTAAAATTGTTCCTCCTTTTCTATATAATTATTAATAACTAATTATTGTCATTATTTAAATATAATTGTTAATAATAATTTTTTATAACAATTATTACAAACTTATTACAATTAGTTATTATTATTATAATTGTTACTGTTATTTTTATTGTTATCATTGTTATTATTATTGTTACTATTATAGTTATCCTTAAAAATAATAAAAATTATTATTAAAAAATAAAATTTTGTATTGAGTTAACAATTCTTTTTCTACAATTGGACAATATCGGGGAACAAACAAAAAATTGAAATGAAATCCGAGGAAGTTTAAAATAAAGAGTCTCGCTGAGATATAAACATTGAAAGTGAAGTGATTTATAGAAGCTAGACTGGCAACAAAATCCTTTCAAGATAGGACTTTATAAGCGAAGAATGTATTGAATTTATCTCTCTCTTTCTCCCTATCTCTCTCACTCTTTCTCTCTCTCTCTACTCTCATTCTGTGTATATTTTTCCTAGCTGTCTCCCATAAATCGCGTGTTGCTTAATTTAAATCTCGCACTGGCAGATTTTCAATAAGCTATTGTCAATTACCCCGTGTATCTGCACGATTGGGATTTATTTTTACATGATTGACAGTTCGACGCAGGGAGAAAACTCGAGTCACTTCTCGGATCGAAATAAAATTATCTATCTATATATATTATTTTATGATTTCGCGAAAAAAAAGAGGCAATAAATAAAAAAAAACGATATTAAAAAATAAAAAAAAAAGGGAAAAAATACTTCCCAATCTCTATGGTATGTATTATGACTTTCGCAAATCATATCACGTCACAAACAGCTTTCAGGAGAAAAAAGGGGCAAAACAATTCGCGGTATTATCTTATATCTTTCCCTATCAAATTTATAATCAATTGGTTTTCTCTTTTTCATAGAGGGAAAAATTTCCCTATGCGCAGAGAGTTATTTTTCTCTTTTTTTCAATAACGATCGTTTTTAATGTCATAAAAAATGTTTTTAAAAAAATTGTCTTAAAAATTTTTAGGTCATGCATAAAACGTGTTGTAAAAAACCCTTTGAGGTGCGTATTTTTTTATACATCGAAAGGCAATTTTTCTTTTAATGTTTACAATATTTATGATCAAATCAAAATATTGCTTTTTAAAAATATTTCCACACTATCTTTTTTCATTGTTTCATTATTTAATTATTGTTTCTGAAAAAATATTCATAAAAAATATATCTTTCTCTTAATAACTGGGTTTGAAAATGAAAATTTTAACTAAAAGAGAAAATTTAAATTAAATTTTTAAATTAAATTTTAATTAAAAAACAATTACGCAGTAATATTAAAAAATGTGCCTTTTACCCCAAAGGGTTCTCTTTTAATTTTATTTTTAAAATAAATGAAATGATTTGGAATTTAGTATAAACAAAAGGCGAAAATTTGAGAAATTAATTAGAAAGTATGTAATAATTTGCAGTTTAGAAATTCACTTACCAGAATCGAAATTAACTTCGCTGACCATAATCCATTTAGCAGCAAAATGAAGCTTCAGTTTCACAAATTTACCGACACGATGGTGCAGCTTCACTGAGATGTTGTGGGGTGTTTCGAAAATATTATCCTCCATATACGTGTAAGTGATTGGCTCGCCCGTATAGTACTTTCCGCCAATGCTGAAGAGAATGTCAACTTGAGAGAAAACCTGAAATTATAAAATAGAAAAGAGAAAATGAGATGAAAAATAAATACAAGAAAAATTTAATTTCATTTTCATTATACACTGCTACCATCTTTTCTATATATACTTTCTTCTCCTTTTCATTATACAAAATTAATTCACCCCTTTTCAAAAGAAAAAATTAAATTTCAAGACGTTATATTCATCTTGACGGCTATATGAATATAACTGATAAGGACATGAAAGTGGATTTTAGAGACAAGAAATAAAAAAAAATGTTTTACATACAAATGAAGACAATATTAAGTGAGTCTTGTAAAAAAAATAATTATTTTATTACAATTTTTATTACTCCTTTGCTTTAAAATTAAATTTTTTCTTTTATTTTTATGTTTTCAGTCATATTTCTATTTTAAATGGTAAAGAAATATTATTTGACTCTAAATATAATTTTTTACATTCTTTATCGAAAATAAATATTTAAAATAATTTTTTTTTTGGAAATAAATATCTTTCCTTGAATTAGATAATTTTTATTTAAATCAAAATAACTATTCAATTAAAATATAAATAAAATTTTAAACCTTCCTCATTGAAAATAAATATTTAACAAAATTTCCTTTATAAAAATAAATATTTTCACATGAACTGAATAATTTTTATTTAAATCAAATAAAAATTGAGAGTTTGATTGTTTGAGAAAATTGTAAAGGCAGCATTTTTCTAAAGCCTTCGATTCTATATATTTTTTTTTTGACGTATGCGAGAGATCAAAAACTGCCTGAGGTGGCTCGAAAGAAACGAGAATTCCAAGTCTGTCCACGTGAATATACGTTCTTATACGACTTTCATAGACGTTTTTATTAAACTTTGCGCTGAATTTTCCAAGTTCGATCGACTACATCATTCAGTTATATATATAAATCAGAGAATTTTTTTTTAATGCATTTTAAATAAGAACTATTTGTGCAAAAATTTATGAAAATATTTTTCAAATTCTAATAGTTTATAATTATTTGCTTATATAATTATTATTTATTTATTTTTTATTTATTTATATTTATATTTTACTTAAATATTATATTTGCAAATGCAAATATAATTTATTTTGCAGACGCAAAATAAATTATTTATAAATAATCAACAATTATGTAAAAAATATTATAAAATAAAAAAAATGATAAATAAATGATAAAATATTCCAATGAATTTCAGATAAAAATAAAAATTACTCTCAATTTGACAGTTGACGGTAACATCTGATTAATATTGGTAGAATTTTTTTTTCAAAAAAAAAATGTTATTTCATTATTTAAGTTGAGACACAGTCCATTACGTGTCACTCGTGTATTCTCGTGTAAAGTATCCAAGAGTAATTTTAAATGAAACGTCCAACGGACACAAACGACGGAACAATTGAGGCATCAATAACAGAGAAACTCGAATGTTTTTTTTAGTGCGACTGCAGCATCTCTCCTCGTGACTAAATCGTGCTTCGGGAAAAATGAATAATAATATAGAAAAATGCTTAAAATATTTATATATACATTTACAATTCAGAGCGCAAAAAAAAAATATGTCAATATTGAAAAATATGTTTTTATCGCAATTTTTCTGATAAAATTATTTCAACTAATATAGAATATACTCGCAATAAATGATTAATGCGAGTATTCTATGATAAAAATACAAAAGTATAAATTATTATTTGAGAATTTTACGGCGGGGATCGAACCCTAGTCTACTTATTACGAGTCGAGTGCGTCTACCACTAGGCTAATTTGATCTTTTTGCTTACTACAAAATGGAAAAAGTATAGAAAAATACTATTAAATATAGAAATTCAAAAAATTTCTGTTATTATTTAACTAAATATTCGTTACTTAGTAAAAATTGTATTAGCTATTAAAACGTTTGATATTAAGAAACATGAAAAATAAAAAAAATTCCGTATTAATTAATTATTTTATTAAAAAATGCGCCTTTTACCCCAAAGAGGTTTTTAACTCTTTTAGGGGCGGTTCAAAAAATACGTAAAACCTCACGAAAGAAATGCCCCAAGACAGCGAATTATCGATAAAAGTTAACTAAAAAGGAACGCATTTTTTCGGTATAAATATATAATAACGAAAGTTTATAAATAAAAAAAAACAAATGTATAAATTTATACAAAGCTCGTTTGTTCTTGTCCGTGCCTCAACGTTTCTATGTATAGGGTATACAATGAACGTTTTGCGATTGTCGAAAGTCTGGTATGGAATATTCAATTCGAAAGCGTGCCGCGTTGCGACCAGAATACGATTCAAATCCCTGTAAAAGCGCTCGTTTATCTATATGCGGTCGCGTAATAATGCCGAGTGTCCATCTGCCTTGTCACTATTTGCTTTAGAAATATATCTGATAATGGAGTTTGAATAAAATTTATAATAAATCAAATTTACAATAAATAAAATTTATACCTAATATTTGTTTTAATTCTACTATAAGGAATCACTTCTTGACTCTAATGTTTAATAAAGAATATTATTCTCAATCAGTTTAAAAATTATTACTCAGAAAAATGTTCCATTACTTCGATATCTTCATGTTTTATAATAATAATTAAAGATGACCGAATGATAAAATCATTATTTTATATTTTATAAGAATATTGTTACTGTAACTTCATAAAAATTATTCTCATTTCAATTCAATTATTTTCTAGAATTTTTAACTAAAATTCTTCTTTAAATTAATTATTCATTCATTTTTAATAATTTTTGAAAAATTTCTTTGAAAATTTTCAAATGCTTTTGTTTACAATTCAATTTTACGAAAATTCATCGATTATTCGGAAATTCTTCAATTAAATATTATATTAGAAAATAAAAGCTTGAAATAATTTCGAAAAAGTTTCATAAAACTTTTTAAAAAATTAAATCTACACAATTTTCAGTTAAAAGCATGAAAAATTCAAACTTTCAAAGATTATAATTTGAAACCTTTTCAAAATTCAAATATTTCTAAAAATCCATGCTATGAACTTTCTGACTTTTTGCTGTTGAAATTTGAATTAGTAAATTTTACTATTAAATTAGTAGAAACGACTATTTATTGGTAAAATTTGCTAATTCAAAAGCAAAAAGTCAGTCAATAATTCAAATTAGAAAGCATTTTTACTAATTAAAATTTAGAGTTTAATATTCAATTATTATCAAAAATTTTAACTGGAATTCATTTTTATGAAATGAAAATCAATTTTTATTAGAAAATTCTACGAGAATTCAATTATTTAAATACAAATAAAATGCAAATAAATAATTTATTGAATAATTGAATGTTTCTTAAAATTCAATTTTCATAAAGAATCGTTATCAACAAATTTTCAAATAATTGAATTTTATCAACAAATTTTAATGAATATTTAAAAAATAATTACATTTTTCGAGAAATTCGATTAAAATTGTATTAAAAATAATTGGAATTCTGTGATGGAAAATTTTTGAAAATAATTGAATTTTACAGAAGAATTTTATTACTTTTTAACAATATATAATTTTTGCGAAGAATATTACTGCTCTTGAAAATAATTGATTTTTTGCAATAATTTGTAACTTTTACAAAATTGAATTTTTTTCTGGTTTTTAACTAAACAATCTACTATAAATCCATTATTTTTTAATAATTTTTGCAAAAGTTTTTTAAGAATTTTTAAATTTATTTGTTTACAATTCGAATTTTAATAAAATTTTTAAGAATAATTTTCATTTTCGAGAAATTAGATTAAAATTCCATTAAAAATAATTGAATCTCTGTAAAAAAAAATTTGATTAAATTGAGAAAAGTTTTTGAAAATAATTGAAATTTTGCCAAGAATTTTATTAAATTTTTTGAAAATAATTGAATTTTGAAGAATAATTTTATTATTTATAAAGATAATTGAAATTTTGACGAGAATTTTTTTAAACTTTTGACCATAATTGAATTTCTATGAAGAATTTTATTACTTTTGAAAATAATTAAATTCTTAAGACGAACTTTAATGATATATTGCTTTTTAAATAATATTGACTTCTTCTGTGAAATTTTATTGAAATACCTAGATATTAAAAATAATTGAATTTTGATAAATTATTGAAATTAATTTAATTCTACAAAGAAATTTTATTAAAATTATTTTGAAAAAAAATTGAATTGTTAAAAAGAATTTCATTAAAATTTTTGAAAATAATACATAAATTATAGGAAGGCTTTTTAAAATAAATAAATTTTTTTTTGATGAATTATAATAAAATTTTTAAGAATAATTACATTTTTCGAGAAATTCCATTAAAATTGTATTAAAAATTTAAAAATAATTGAAATTCTGCGATGATCTTTGTTATTTATAAAAATAATTGAAAACCTATATATGAAAATAATTGAATTCCTGGTAAAAAATATTATTCTTCATGAAAATAATTGAATTATTGCGAAGAAGAAATTTATAAAAAAAAATTTGTAAATAATAGAATTCCTGTGAAATTTTTAGTATTTAATTCATTCATTCAAAAATTAAAATTTTCTAAAATTTCAAATTAAAACCTTTTGAAGTTCACCTATTTATGAAAATTGTAAACGCAACTCTTTTAAAATTGAATTAATTTTGAAATATTTAAGTAAAATTAGATTTCAAGAATAAGTACAATAACTTTAGAAAACAATAATCCCTTAAGAGAATTTCGAAAATTCTCGTACTGTCACACTAAATAATAAAAACGAAAAGCAATGAATGTTTACTATTTCAAAAGATAGCCGCAATATCAATAGATTTATTTATTCCCTTGTTAACATCCATCCCAAAAAATACGTTAAATATAAATCCACCATTTTCCCAATTAATCGAAAGCGAATAATTCACAATGAGAATATAGAACGGGAGAATGAAATACACACGGTTAGAATGAATGTATGTTTTCGATGCGAGAATAAAAAAATGGAAAAAGAATAAAAATTCTCAGAATACAAGGAAATAGCGACTATAATTAAAACTATTTGAGTGGGAA